TGATGTGGACTGGTATTTCTATGAGGAAAGCCACGCTGGCTAGAAAAGAGGGGCCAAAGAGGAATTCTTTTCAAAAGCTAGTAAATTATTTTTTTTACTGAAGTGGTACAACCCCATATGGCAGTAAGATTATTGTCGTAAGTGTATTGCAAGTGAAATCTGTTTAGACTGCTTAGACTTACAGGGGAAAAAAGCGTACCAATGGCATGGTTTAAGATGGTACCTTTTAAGAGCTGATCAGTTCAGCTCAGTTCAACAAGCCAGTACAAAAATTTTAAAAAGGAAAAGGCTAGTCACTAATGGCAGTTTGATGTTTTCATCACCAATATGAAAAATACATGTTTAAGTATACAAGAAGCTTTGCCAGATAGGCGTGCCTTGTGTAGCTGCTTGAAGAAAGCTTTTTTATATTCTTCTGGGAGGAGGGCGAGTCTGAATCCCAGTCCCAGGAGCTATACGTGCTTAAAGGTACTGTTCAAAGAAATCAGTGCGATGGAATGTGCAGATTTGGAGGACAGGACTTGGCAGCCGTTGTGTCCCCGTTTGGTAGTGCTCAAATTCAGACTAGTGAAGCTGTTTTACCAGTTAACTGACTCGGATAGCTCTTTAAGCACCTTCTAAGGAATATTTATGACTTTCTGAAAGAGGCCTCCTGACCATGTGAACAACCTCTTGTCCACAGCCTGTTTCCCTTCTCCCTGAAACCCTGCCATTTAGTCTCTGTGACCACCCTCACTTCACAGCTGGCGTCCACAGTCCCCAATTATTGCAGAACTTGCCAGCCAGAATCAGTGTTCCTTGTCTGAGTCCCAACCCCGACTGAGATTCTCAGTCCAAAGAATCTATCTGCTTGTTTATGCAGCTCATCTAGGCTGACATCAGTCTCCTTCAAGGCAAGAAATACAGAATCACAGAATCATTTAGGTTGGAAAAGACCTTTAAGATCATCGAGTCCGACCGTTAACCTGGCACTGCCAAGTCCACCGCTAAACCACGTCCCTAAGTGCCACATCTACATGTCTTTTAAATACCTCCAGGGAGGTATTCTTGTAGAGGTTCTGCTGGTAAAAATGTAAAATATTACAGCAATGCTGTAACAGTTAAGCACAAACTTACTGTTTCCATTACCAAAGTTTTTGCTCAATTTGAACACTTTTAAGCCCAATTAAAATATTAAAGTTTATAAATTATATTTTGGCCAGATGAACTGAATGTTCTACAAAATACTGTTGGTGATTGCACTGAACAGAAATGCTTGCTTTGAGAGAGATGCATCAAATCTAACTACCACTTTATCTCTTTAATGTCACAGAAGTTCAAATATGAGGCTGATTTCATGCAATCAAGACTGTCTAGAATGTTTCATAACAGATAGTCGTATCAAAACATCTGTTTGCTGCATGAAAAACTGAAGAGACTGGTGCACTCTTGCTTTGCAGTCACAAGTGACCACAAGGCCCTGAAACTAAAAAAAGTTTCTCAAAAAAAGCTTGGATAAATCTGACACATTGGCAAAATGTAGTCCTTTGCATGTTATAATGATCCCCAGGAGTCCCAAAGTGCTTGTTGTACGTTAATGAATTATGCCTTATAACATCAGATTGTACCAGAATAAACATTACCCATTTACTTGTCTGCTAAAAATGTACTTAAGTTCCAAGCTGGATCCATATTTCAGAGGTCTCCAAGTTCAAGAGTTTTTATCGCCAGGTCTGTATTTCAAATTCATCTCTTTTCTTTATAAGGTTATGCTATTTTCATCATTAATATCCCCTCTTCCTGAAAAGTGTGCATCTTCATAGTGTAACCCAGCATTTCTGTTGTACATTTTCATTAGTTGGTTGCATTTTCTATTTACTAGTAAATGGATTTCTGAGTTTTTGCAAATTTTTTAATGATTAAACTTCAGATTTTCATCACCTCTTTTCCGTGGCAGCTGTGAACATCTTAATTGTTTCAATTTTTACCTGTTCTTGAAGCACAGGCAAAATGACCTTTGTTTTAGTGGTTTTATCTTGAATAAAAGTCCTTGTAATTTCTGAAGATTCGAGGGAGTTGGGAACTGTATTTGTGATAGACACAACACGGGTATTTATTATTAAAGGAATCTCTAGCACAGCAATGTTGTAGCTGATTAAACAGCATTGTTTGTCTCAGCAAGAATTAGTGTCTATAAACTGTAGGTGTAGGCATTCTTCATTTTTATCTGCCGTTCCTACTTCAACACACTTCTGCCAAATGCAGTGTAGTACTTGGAAAAAATTGTGTATATGCTTACCTCTACCTATTGGCAATAAAACAGATGTACAGGATCAGAACCTAGGATTATGACCGCATCAAAATGGTCGGCAAGACAATATAAATGAGGTGTTCTTGGTGTAGCCCTGTGTTTGCAGCACTGCTTTCAGCAGTGACTCAACCTTACAGGTTTGGGGGGTTCTGTCTGGAATAATCCAGGTCAACTGCATTTTGTAGAAAAAAAAAGGCAGGGGGGAAGCTTGATTATCAGTGCTGTTCTGTCTGAAATTTCATCTTGGCACATAAAGATACATTTATTCAATTTTTGTTACTGGCTGGTTGGTGTTTGATTCCACCTTCGCTGAACTCAGATCAAGAGATGGAGAAGTCTTGACTCTTTCTGTCATGAGTTCAGCTTGAGGCTAGATGTCTGTGATGCATGTTTAGTATTGCTGAAGTGAGACCAGCTAATCAGTGAAACAGTTCAAAGCAGATATTTTATTACCGGGTATTATTAATCACAACTGACATGTCTTGTAGACTTGTGCATTTTTCTATTTAAGAAGCTCTATCAAAATGCATTTCATCCAGTTAGCTAGCCTGCTTTTTTTGGTTCCTTTGGGTGTCGTAGTTGTAGATTTTACTTGTAAATGGCTCAATAGTTGAACAGATTAGACCTGTGCTTGGGGAGCCCTGCCCAGTCAGCTTACAGATTTGGAATTAATGTTTTCGTACAGATTTCATAGGCGGTACTTGTGCATCTCAGTAATTCCCTGTACATGAAGCTGGTCATTTCTTCCCATATATGAGCTTTGGTTTTAGAAGCACAGTGGATAATAACCATAAATGTTTCATTTACTATAAATACTTAATAATTATGAATGATTGATGACCAGATTTGTAATCAAACTGTATGAAATGAAGACTACCTTTGTATAATTGTCTAAGCTGTATTCTAAATATTATATGGGCTTTGTGGTGCTATTAAGATGCATGCCTGATTGGTATTTTCATTAAAAATATTAGCACATGGGTAACAAACAGAAAAATACACTTTCTATAGTTGTATTGGCAATAAAATTAATCTGGATGGACTTCCTTGTGGACACAAGAATTTCTGTGTCTGCCAATTTTCAGTCCATTGTAAGGCATGCCTTCTTTATGGATTATTTTAAAGATGTTTCTTCAAGAGAATGTGGTTTTTATAACACAGCACTAATAGCTGGCTCTGTTTCAGTAACTACTTTCACTTATTTTGCTTTCAATTTTTTCTAATTGCCTTTGATGTCCCTGGGGCTTTGAAGCCAAAAAAACCCATATAATGCTTATCTAATTATCAGGGCTCTTGCATCTCTAAAAGATTTCATTAACAATGCTGCTTTCTGATTCATGCAACCAGCTGAAGGTCTGGTATGTCTCCTGCAGACATTTTTGGATGTCTCACAGATTAGTGAAGAAACACTTTGCCAATATGTGCCACTGTTGCTCTACACACACGTCTGAATCATCAGTGTCCTTCAGTTGAAAATCCAACCTTGAAAAAGCAAACCTAAATCACAGTGACTAAAATGTTGCAGAGGTAGAACCATGGCCAGAGGCTTGTCCATGCCAAGACTAAGGTATATGCTTTATCTCGTTCCTAAAAATAATTGTATTATTGCTAATCTTGAGCAAAATTGATGAAGATATAAATATGTATTGAATTAATTCCAGATATATTTAATCTAAGCCTTTAACTTGCTGCAAGTTTATTGTTGAGTCTCAGACTATTGGAGCTGAACCTTGCAAATATCTCCTCTGGACCAAATGTGATTTAAATGCAGAAGTTGCACACCAGTGCAATAAGAATTTGGACTTCTGCTAGCCTTTTTACATAGACTGTCCACACACTTTCTCAACTGAGTTAAAATATCAGAGTGGCCTATCCTGCAGTATAAAGGCCACCTACAGCTATTTATTCTAGGTTTACTGATTGGTAACGTAAGGGCAGCTAATGTAGTTTGCTTTGCAGCTTATCTACCATTAAGTGCCATTCAGTATGTGAAGCCAAGGGCAATCAAGGTCAGCTTGCTTTACTGCATTGGGAGAAGCCTTGGTTCACTTGTCCTTAGGTATGCAGCCATTTCATATGTTTGCTTTATTCTTGGATATTTCAGACATATTATGGTATAACACAAGGGTTTTTTCTCCTCTTTCTTTAAAGAAATGTAGAGCAAGTTGTGTAAAAATGAAAAAACAACTAAGGACAAAACAACGGATTTATATGCTTTCAGGTTCAGTCCCACTCTGTTTGTTTTTTTTTTTTTTCTTACTGCAACTATTCAAGGACTAGAAACCAACAGATGAAAATTTCGTTTTCAGTGATTTAATATCTTCTGTAGTATTCCCAGCCATCTGCAGGTCAGAGTGTAACGCAGCAACTTGTTCTACCTAGTAGATGGCCCTGCACCTATATAACCTAATTCTCATTCCTTCTGCGTGGAACAGATCACTCTTAGGCACATGAGCAACAAGCTATATTAAGTAGTACTTAAGATCACCCTAAGCAGTTTATACAGAGGTGTCCGTTGCTTTTCTGTCTCTCACCAGGTGGCCGATGGCTTGCAGATATTTCTGACCTCCTTCATAGCCCAGGATTCTACTAACGTTTTGGGGAAGATGTCCCCGGTCGGAAGGCCATGAGTTTTAGCTGGTTGTCTCAGTTGACAAGTAGCAAAAGCAGAAATCGGTGGGCTTTCATAGGAAATGGTGTAGACACTGTTCATCACTCCAGCTTCTTTCTCATGCCATTTTTTCATCAGGTGATCAAGAAGGCCATAGTTGGTGGGTGGTTCTGAGACAGGAAATGAGTGAATGTTAGAGATGATAGAATTACATTTTTGGTCCTGGTGTTTTTACTCCACAGTTGTCATAGGGAACATTTGTACTGTTTTGACAGCAGATTAAGGACAAAACAGATCTTTTTGTTCCCAGGGCATGTGTGTCTACCCTCTAGCTGGAAGGGAAAATCACTGTTAGATATCAATAGGACAGCAGTAATGGTATAAATGTAAGGAGTCCTGATTCTTCATAGTCTGTTTGGTAGATACTAAAAAAGTTAGCAGAGCTGTACATGTCACTTAAATTCAGAAATATAACAATACTCTGTGAATTCTCCTGCTAGTTGTATCTCACAGCTCTCCTTGTTTTCAGCTGGTGTCTCGTATTATTGCATAGGGGAGGGAAATCTGTTCATTGACACTATCCTTCACTGCTCCCTCTGGTGATTAAGTATTGTTGTATGGATAACATTTCCACTTTATCAGTAAGAAAGAGAAGCTACTGACTGGGTAAAATAGTAGCCAAAAGTCACCGCAAGATCCATTTTCAGAATTAAAACAGGAGGTTCCTGGCTCTAAGTCTATATATTGACCACTGCACCATGTTCCATCTGACTGAATTAATAATGCCAAAAACTACCAAGAATGGGGAAATCTGATTTCTGAGGAATCCAGGCAAGCTTGTGTCCATTCCAGCTGCGGCGGGGAGGCAGCACAGGGTTGTAACCATGTCTATTGTATTTATCGTCATATTCCGATACTAAATTTCGGCTTCTTGGTTCCTCATGATGGGTGAAGAAGTGCTGTATTGGCAGGCCCTGAAATGAGATGTACATGAAACAGTGCCGTTTGTCTTCGTACATAGCATTCAGATGGCTTAGCGTACTTTTGAGTCAGACTGTACTACCAGTGATATCACAAAATTTTGTCAGTACTTATATTACTTACAATTTAATCCCTGAAAACAAGGGCATTTGCGTTTCAAGTCAAGTAAATTTCCAGTTTAATTAAGCCACTATATCTGTATGTCATGAGATCTGATTAGTCTGATTTCAACACATGCATCATGGATTTGCAGATACATTTAAGCAGCCCTGCAAATGAAAAGCTGATTGTCTTGTGCTGCTTAAATGTTTCATTGTGCACTAGCATTACGTATACTGCCTTCCCACTGTCTCTCGGGAGAGAATGATAAGAATATTTGAGGGTGGAGGGGCACCTCGGAGAAAGGGACATTCTAGCAGATGTTACCTGTGAGGAAAGTATTATGAAAGACCTGGGACTCATTTAAGTGCAGTTTGTTCCTATGAATCGGAGGTGTGCTGATGAAAATAAGCCTCTTTTACCAGCCAGCTCATATTATAGCCAACTGAATGTCCTGAAGACACAATACCCAGTCCTAGCTGGTAGTAACATGCTGATTTGCCTCATGTGCCCTGGTCACCCTCCAAGGCAGAGACTGGGAAAAAAACAGAGAGTACCAAGAAATACGTGCTGTTTGTCTGCCTCTGAAAGGCACCCTACTTTAATTAAGCATACGAGGGACCTCTGGATCCTGTAAACCGGCCACGGAGCTGCAGTGCCTTCTTTTACACATATAGTTGTTTAAGGATGTAAAATATGATTTAAATATTAGTCAAAGATTATCACTGTTTGGAATGTCGGCACACACAGCCCTACATTTGAAATTTCTTTTACTTACCTCAAATTTCTCCATCATGGTTCTCCTTAGTGTTTGGTCTGGTTTGTGATCTGAGAAGCAAATGAAGTCTGTTTTGTATATGCTGCTGCCGAGGCTCCCGGTGTCTTTTATAAACTGGAGAGATACACAACATTCAGTATAGCTAAGGCAATCTCATAGTTACAGAAGCTCTGTTCCAGCACTGCTTTCTTCATCTACACATTTAAAAAGCACTTATTTGGAAAGAAGTCTGTGCTGTGTACTTTTTCTGAGATGGTAAAGTCAGCTGGTATAATCAGCCGTTGTAAAATTCTGGATTGATTCCTTGGTGTAAATATAAGATACTGTACAGCCCTTGAAAAATTATTCACGGTTTGGTGTTAAATACTTTCGCCTGCCATGTGAACTAGCATCTGAAAAGGACGAAGGAACTCTTTTTTTTTTTTTTTTTCCCTCCCTCTGTTCCTACCTCTGCTGCAGCAGGCCAGTCTCTGCAATATAGTCTAACATTTTGCTCCAACCAAAAAAAAACCCCAAATCTAAAGGATGTAATTTTAGCAGAGTCCGAGGATTTGCCCTAACAGCTCCAATATTGAACCTAACTGGCATGTTTTGACAAAGTTAAATGTCTAATGATAAAATTTTTCTCAGCTCTTAAGCAGGGCATGTGATGTATAGAGCAGCTCCGCGAGCAAAGATGCTCTTGTTTATGCAAGCAAATGAAACCAATATCCAAATTATTAAAGATCCTCTGATACACATAATAATAAGCATTAACTTATGGAAGGGTTAACGAAGCCTCTCTTGTATAATGTTGGTATATATTATTAAGTTGTATATAGTGGTGTTGTGTAGTCACATGTGAGTTGTACAGCAGCCTGAAGTGATTGCCATAACAAGTGCTATAGCATCTGATCTACCTGCAAGGCTCTGGCTAACAGCAGCTGCTAGATTGCCCCCAGTGTGAACCACACAATATAACCCATGCTCAGGCATCGCTTCTGTCTTGCCTTAGAGAAGAATGGCAGATCAGAAACAAAATGAATTCATGTAGGCCAAGCAAGATGCTTATCCTTCTCCCTTTTATTACTCTTCTGAGATGAGCCTGGACTCTAGTTGCAACTGCAGTGGTATGCTACCTCCACAGCACTGGTTCTGACCCGCTCTATTCCTGCTCTCGCACTTCCTTCCTGATCTTACCCTTTGCCTCTCGTACAGCCAGTTTCCAATGAGAACTTTAGAAGAGTATCTCGGTTCAATTTTCCACCAATCCTGTCCATCTTTTTGCGATGCAATCATATTTCTTTGTCTCACCAGCACCACCCTCCCTGTTTGTTGGAACTGTCCTTCGTTACATGGGTGAACGATTACTCAGTAGTCCAGCACTAAAACTAGGGCAGAAAGGGGCTCCCCTTCTGCCTGCCTGTGTGCTGAGAAACGTGGGTGATGTGTGGAACTGCTTGGCTGTAGAACCATTTGTGTTTGCTGTCCCCACGGTGACTGTCGTTCCAGTAACCACATTCCAGGCTGCATCATATTTACTGTTGAGCAACACAGTGGCTCCTAACCCACTAAAGTCAGCTGGGTTTTTTTCTCTAACAGAGTTCAGAATCAGAGCACAGAGTATGTCTCAAACCATCGTGATATGAGTGACATACTCCTCTATACCAACACACCACACATACCTGCACAACACACAGTCTCTCTTCATAGACACATTTTATTTAAACAAGTGGGACAAACCAGGATGTCCATTCAAAGTAATGTTGTTCTTTATTGACACAGCTAAAAATAAGGGCTTGCAGCATGGTACAAGCTTGTATAAGGTTTGCATATTCCGTGTTCCAACTAATAGCTGGAATGAGGTTCTGATGAGCCTTGTTTTTCATTGTTAATGGCTGCCCTTGATTGACTACCCATCACCTGATATCAAATATCCTAAAAAGATATTTTCCTAGATTGAGGCATGAACAGACTCATGGAATCTAAGATGTTTACTACAAGCTTTTTAGGAAGCTAACAACACTGTCCAATCCCCTTTTCCCAGCTGGAAATGAGAAACCACAATAATCATACAGGCTTATGATTCCATGGAATCCATCCTCAAGGTGGTACCAGGTCACTCGAACACCGTTGTCCTCCAGTCTCTTCTTGTAAAGCAAGCCGTCGTCTCTTAGCACGTCGTACTCGCAAGTCAAGATGAAAGACTCGGGCAGCTGGTGAACAACAGCATCTTCAGCTAAGAGTGGACACAGGTTGGGCTCACAGAATCTTTTCACTGTCTCATAAACTTCAGCTATAAAATCAGTGGGCCTAAGTGGCTTCACACCTCTGACCTTAAATTTTTCGGGGATGTTATCTGGACTCACCCACTTCCTGTACTTCACCCTCATATCTGGAGGAATATGAGAGCCCTCCAAGACCTCTTGCATATGCAATGCATCCCCATTTAGGTACTGCAAAGCAAAGAAAGCGGCACGTTCTCGAAATAAGAGAGGGACTCCTCGATTTTGGTGATAGGACGGTAAATTGAAGTCCAGTGCCTGAAGGCCTGGGTAGATCAAGATCTGAGCACGTAGTCTGGGCAGGTCTGATCTACCTGCAAGGGTCTGGCTAACAGCAGCTGCTAGATTGCCCCCAGCACTGTCCCCGCAGACAATTACACGGGCAGGATCCACCCCATAGTTCTCTGTATTCTTCATAAAGTGTATGGTAGCAGTAAGACAGTCTTCGTACGCAGCAGGGTATTTGTGTTCAGGAGCTAAACGGTACCTAGTACAGAGAAAGAGAGAAGTATAAGTGAAGGAAATGTCATTAGTATTAACCAGGAAATGCTGCCTTCCAGCCCTGTCATTTTGGGGTAGTTTTCCTCTAGGTGAGGATATTCATTACCTCCTAAGCAGGCAATCCTCAGTGATTGCAGGTAAGCTGTAAATCATGTACTCAGTCACAGGGACTCAGTAAAGGAGGGTTGTCTTCTGATTAAGAGTCTGACGGAGACTTTGTACGTTTCTTAGTAATGCTGAAAACTCCCTGTGTATTCTTGACAAGATAATCTAATAATTTTGTGCCTCTGCTTCCTATGTGTAAAATGGAAGTAATACAGTGTGATTATTCCCTCTTTTTCTATAAATCACAATTGTTTGGAGCATCTTATTACGTGTTCATATGTTCAGCACAAGGAAGACTTTCTTTACCTAAGTTTTTGATTCGCTTGTGTAGGTTTTTCTTAGTGTGCCAAATGTTTCCTTTTGGGTCTTTTCTGAGTATATCAGGGCACGAACACTTAAGAGCTGTGAAATCTCCATTATCACTATTTGTCTCGTTATGGACTTCACTGAATTCTATAGAAATTTCTCTGCAAAAAAGAACATCTCCAAAACCAGTGCAGCCCTGCTGTGGCACCACACCAACGATCTCCACCACAGCACATCTCCAAACAATACAACTGGGTAGGGTTCACTTACTGAACAGATACAACTACCGATTCACTTTCTCTGGATATGTAGCGGCATACTTTTTCATACGTATCTGGAAAAGAAATATTTTCATTAGTGCTCTGCTATTGTCCTAATCTTTGAGACAGTTAGGGAACGTTCATTCCAGAAAGACATGTATTTGTCTTCAGACTTCCTCCCAAATCACATGCTGAAACCTCCTCTGATTTCAATTTTACAAAAAGATGAGAATGTTCTTTCTACATTAATATAATTCCTCCAGCAAGTATCTTACCGAGACTTCCAAATACCCAGCCTCCTCCATGAAAGAAGATGATACCTCTCCTTCGCCCATCAGAGGTAGCTTTAGGCTGATAAACCCTCACAGGTACTTTGTTAAACTGCAGATCCTGGATAAAGAGCTTTGGATCCAGCCTTAGTTTCCGTCCCTGTCGCACGTATCGGCCAAAAGTGATTTGAGTGCAAAGTCCAGTCTTCTCCAAAATCTTTCCCTGTTAAAGGTAAAAGAAAATAAGGCTTCTTTAAAAGTCTTGAGTTAGCCAAGGTATAAAAACTCTGCATCATACTTACATTGAACTGTATTTGAGGGAAATTTTAAAGAAACACAGAGCTTACCAAAAAAAAAAAAAGGTAATGTTGGGAAATATGAATACATTATAAGAAGATATAATAATAACAGCACAAGAAGTCAGAATAACTACCGTGAGGACTGGTCATAGAGGAGGATAATGGCTAGGCAGGCATCTCCCAAACACCCGCTAAATGGCTTCCTGGACACTAAGTACTGACAGGAGAGTTCATTCTAATAGGTTGTGTAGTCCTTGGGTTTTGCCTTAATAAACCTGTGGAAGACAGTGAGGAAAAATAACTCCGCAGTTGGTTTTCTTGATAGGAATGCCTAGTCCTAAGAAAGTGAGAGATCCCAGGATAAAGTCAGAAAACAGTATTTGTTTTAAGTTTGCTTAGATTAGTTCTACCAAAAAGGAGAAGTTCTACCGTTCATCATACCAGCTGGCATCTGAAGAATCAGATTGAAAAATCTAGGCTTCACATACAGCAATTTGACCCCTGTTGTCTGACAAAAATAAAGCTGATTCGAGAAAAACTATTTTCCTAAGCTCTCACATCCTACAGACTGTAAAAAATGTACTTCCATTACTCAAATCTAGTGTCATTCTAATGTTACATCAGAAATTTTATGTAGGCCATCCAAACAGGCTGTCTTGGAGTATACATTTTAATTGTCAGTATTGTCCTGTGTACCTTTGTGCTCGTTCTTGTTTCATTTATAGTTGATAATGACAATGAAACATTGTATATAGGAACAGCAATAGAAACTTTAATAGTTTGTCATTGCATAAACTAATATTCCTCAATTAGACCATAAAATTCAGTGAATTTCCAAATCTTAAGTGCTAAGTTGCGTTGTGCAAGTTAGTTACCGCTTTTTATTTGCACAACAGATGTACTGAGCAAAATCAAGAAGCTTCCTTTCCCAGTGCTCTTGCAATGATCTTGCACACTAGAATATAAATCTGATGTAATAAGTGAACAAACAAGAAGTTGGGAACAAAATTAATTAATGGAATCAAACAAATAAACTGTTAGAGTTCCGTTGCTAAATGATCCCAATTTTGAATGCCCAGTGAGAGTCTGTCTTTATCCATTCCCTTGTCACCTGCTAGTGGGATTCGGGAGAGCTGGGTAGCTTTGTCAGTACATTTCAAGAGGATGTGAATGGTGTAAGTAACGGTGTGGTGGAAAACAAGGTCTGTGTGATAGCAAAGGTGATGTTGTGGCTAAAGGAGTGAAAAGTGAAGATTTAAAAAAAAATTAAAAGATCCAGCAAGTGACCGAGGAAGAGTTTAGGAGGGCTCTGCTGCCGTTTATGCAGAGCTGCAAAAGGGAGTCCAGGGATTAAGCAAAGCGGCCCTAACGGGATTTGGTACCATAAATGTCAGCCGTGGCAGGGGCCGCCGAAGGGCTGCGG